AACATGGTAACCTTGTGTACTGTATTACCATTGCTGGATGTTACCCTGTGTGGCTTGGGCCATCACAGTAACATTAAGGAGGATCTATTGGCAGGAATTCAATATAATATTCATAGATATGTTTTCATTAGTGTATAATAACATCACAAAAAGTATTGTTGTGTTTTCATTACCTTGTCTACAGAGGGTCCTCTTCTACCCCACTATGTTGAACCGCCATGTTTCTACAGTAGCTCAGAGCGGACAAACACTGGCTCTAGATAGGGCCTTTCACAGCCACCGTAGTTTCTCCTTAGCACTTAGTTGAGTCAACGGGTCTGAGTTGGTTGCTGCAATCTTACCACTAGATGCACTAGTGGCTATGGCTCAGTGGCAGAGCGGGTTGTCTACTAGTTGAATGGTTGTTGGTTCGATCCCTGGCTCCTCCTACCACGTGTCAAAGCCTGCTGCCTTGAGCAAGATACTGAACCCTGAATTGCTCCTGATGATGTGCATCGGTGTGTGAATGTGTATGAATGCGTTAGTTTCTGTTCTGTGAAAGGGTGAATGTGGCATGTAGTGTAAAAGTGCTTAAAAGCACAAGTACAGGTCCATTTACCATGCCACTAAATCCTATACGCTGGACTTTTAACAGAATCTCCCTCTGCCCTTCCTTTTATGAATCAGTTGTTTGTCTCCCTGTAGGTGTAGCTGCGTCTCAGGACCAGGACTTTGGGACTGCCAACCTCCATGTGGAAGTCTCAGATGTCGTCTCTGTTCTGGTCTATGTAGGAGTGGCCAAAGGCAATGGAGTACTTTCCAAAACTGGTGAGTGTTACTAGAGTCAGTGAAATAATTAACTTAAAGACTTTGTGGACTAACATCAAAGTATTCTCAATTAGTGTGCACAAATAAATAAAGGCAGGAGACTGGGTTGAGAGAAAGGTGTCACACTCTTAATCTTGAGTAGCCAAGGACAGTGGGGTTGATGCTGGAAGCACTGCAGCTAAATACCGAGGTCAGCCCGCAGAGTGACCACTGCATTCTATAATCTTATTCACAGACACACACTGACAATCAACACTTGTTGTCCTTGGAAATATCCAAATACCTCTCTTCAAATAGACAGACAGACAGACAATTTAGCCCGAGGGAAACACTCTTTCAAGCTACTGCTTTATGTGTGTACACCTCTGTATTAGAGTCCTCTCCTCACTTGAATATCTTCTGTGCATTTGTTTATTGTCAGTTAAATTCACTGTACAAAAGTGGATGCGTAAGGAAAACTGTAACCACAGTGCTCCTTAATGGAAGATAAATGAGATATTGATACAAAATGGACACACAAAAACACAGTGCCAACTAGATACCAAAATTGAAATCACTTCTCAATTTTTTTCCTGGATATCTCTGTTTCAGCCTTCGAAAACATTATACATCATGTATAAACAATGTTTTCAAAGAAATGTAACCAGTTAGGTGATTTATTCAGCAAAAACCCTAAACATGTGGCACCATGATAGCTCACTTGGTAGAGCTGGTGCCCCATGTACCAAGCCTAAACTTATTATGTGAAGATCTGCAGTAATATATAAAATAAACGGAGTAGCTTAAGAGCAAAACTAGTGATAGATGTTGGATAGAAGTACTTTGACTGACTAAAAGGTCAAAAAAAACAACTAAAATCAATCTATTATTGAAATAGTAATTAAATGCAGCTTTAGAAACATGATTGTGTGTCTGTGTGTAGGAGTGTTAAAGCGTCTGGAGGAGGAGGATCTAGATGAGGGGGTTCGGAGGAGGCTCAAAGACTCCAGTGAGACACCGGGGGCGCTGTGGCACATCTACCTCAATAGAGACATGGACAATGTCCGAGAGTTCCTGAACAAGGTCAGCACTCTGATAAACATAGTAAACAACACGAACTTCAGTACTAATATTGACCCTGCTAACACCTCCCTCTTCCCCCACTCTCCACCTCAGCTCTGTAAGGAGCAGGGACTGGACGTGTTGCTGGACCAGGACCCAGTCAGAGAGCAGGGCTTGTACCTGAGCAGGAAGCAGCGTCAGCGGCTGCTGGATGAACATGGAGTTCAGGGCTGGACTGTAGTTCAGTTTCTGGGAGACTCTGTACTTATACCAGCAGGGGCCATGCACCAGGTATACACAGTATTCACACAGATCAGCTCTTATAATTTAAAGCTTCTCACCTCACTGACACGTTTCTGTCAGTGATTTAAAGTTTGAAAGTTTGACAATCAGTCCTGCATATTTTGTGTCTTTGGAAACTTTTTACACTATAGATTATTTTGACTCAGTCCCACACAGCACCAATTGTGGATTAATCCACTGAAAAAAAAATGCTTCTTAAAAATTACACTGACCAGTTCTTTAAGGAAATTGTTGGGCCTTTTTAAAAGAATACATTGATTTTTATAAAAACTATATATTTGTGAGTTGTTTTTTTTTTTAAAGATTTACATCTTCAGTAGGAACCAGTGGGCTTGGAGTTGATAGCCACAGACAGGTAGTCAGAAAGGAGTAAGAGATGGACTAGCACATTGTTGGTTTTAGCCTTTTGATGGGATTGAAAATAAGAAAAATACATAGTAACATTTCTTTAAATTATATTTAAGGTGAAGAGTTTTTGACACTTCTGCACCCTGATATGCCACAAATCACATATTTACTGTAGTTTTCAGTGATTTATTTTAAATAAATTTCAAATTTCTGATATATTTTCATATAGCAAATATTTTAGGTTTCTTTGTAAATTAGTGTGATTCTACACAACCTGTCAATGCTCTAATCCATGGTTTTATACCTGTTTCGCACACAATGTTACATTGTTAAAGTTACACCCTTCAGTTTCTGTCATTCATATAACTTTTGTGTCCTCACCTCCTGTCTCCATCCTGTCTCTCAGGTCCAGAATCTCCACAGCTGTGTTCAGGTCATTAATGACTTTGTGTCTCCTGAGCATGTGGCCAACTCCTTCCACCTGACCCAGGAGCTGCGGCCCACTAAAGAGGAAGTCAACTACGAGGATAAACTACAGGTGGTGAATCTGTTTAGATTAATAAAGTAATAAGAATGTTCATACCTGCCAAGATTCCCTCTCACACGACATCAGTATGTTTAGTTTGTGTGTGTGTGTGTGTGTGTGGTGGTGTGTGTGTGTGTGTGTGTGTGTGTGTGAAATAAGGGCAGACAGAATGGCAGAGTGAGTCATCATCACTGATGTTTTCTGGACATTGAGTCCCTCTGCTCTAAATGCACTCACACACATTCATTCTCCCATAGGTAGGATTATAAATGAGGTGTGAGTCACCATCCGTCTTCTGTCTGTCTGCTGGGTAGGAAAAACTAGAGATTAGCTCTGTTTGGTTTTACTCCGCAATAAGTACATTTATTCTTTATTAACCATTGTTTTCACTATTGATAAATCATTTTTCCAATACAGGTGACTTCCTAAAATGTCTTGTTTTGTCCAAACCCAAAGATATTCAGTTTACTGTCATAGAGGGACTAACAGAAAGCAGAAAATATTTACATTTGAGAAACTGAAATCAATTTGGACATTTTATATTACAAAATTAAAGAAAATCATTAATCGATTATCAAAATGCTAATTTAATACTGGACAACTAATATTCTAATTGTGCAGCTCTACAATGAGTGCAGGGTAATTGAGGAACAATTAAAGAATCATGTTTTATCTCAGCTGTCCACCCAAATGTGCACAAATCCATCCTGTATCATTATAACTACAAAATTATCATGTGCATGAAACTATTTTATGGTGATTATACTCTGGCCTTTAAAGTCTAAAAATACAATGATCTAAATTGAAAATGTCTAAATATGATTTTGACAGGTCTTATTTTTAAGTCTCTCCTTTCAATGTGGTTTTTGGAAAAATCTGTATTGATAATGCTAATACAAAATGCAACTGACATGGAACCAATACAGCTTTTCCTTCATATCCTTCATACTTTATTGGACAATATGCATGTAAAAGGTCCTAAATTGCATCCGTAATGTTCTTAAAAAGTCTTAAATTTAACCCGTTGAAACCTGCAGAAGCCATGTGTGTTACTAGTTACTAGTTACTAGTTACTAGTGATGTAAAAATGAAAAATAATTGTTTCTTAACGAATCCCTGGTACTTATTCATTTGGAAGTGACTCCATATTCAAACATGTTTTCCATAACTAATCATACTGTGTTACAGGGGTAACCTCTGCCATCACTAACATTCGATGTGCATTAGACGGGGATCTTTTAATGTCCAGTATGAACAGGAGGCACAATTACAGCAAGCAAAACCTGTTTCAGTGTACCTTGTCTGTTGTTTTAAGACAGACTTGAGTTGTGAGTCAGTTTAGGACATGGTTAATATAGTTATATCTATATCTATTTATTGAGACTGGGATGTCCGCATCACTGTCAATGTAATCTTCCCCTAAAAAAACTAAAACTTACACCGTAACTAATAAAAAACATTTTTAAACAACAAAAAGTAAAGTGAAACCACTCTGGAAACTGACTGAACCTGAACTGAAAATTAAAAACAAAAAGTAATGAAAAATAATAAACTATAACTTTGAGGTATTAAAAACAAGCTTCTGTTGCAGCAGAGTGCACAGCAACAAAAGTGGCATTACTAATGATGCTCCTCATCCTCAGGTGAAGAACATCCTGTACCACTGTGTGAAGGAGGCGGTGAGCTCCCTGAAGAGGGGCAGTTCCGAGGAAGACAATGAGGAAGACAACTCATGACACCCTGTCGGCCTTGTCGGCGCCCTCCAGAGAGGGACACAACTCCCATCAGCACCTCCTCGTCCTCCCCACACCCATCTCATCCTCTTGTGGAGGACTGTGGGACGTGGGCACCTCGCTGTGTGAACTGTATCACACATCCAGGCGGCCAGTGAGAGGCGCCATCATCTCCTAAACCTTCAGTGCCAAGAGGAGACACACACAAGACCAGAGAGGCCACTGGACTGACAGGGATTAAACCTCAACCACCACACTCCCTTTATGTTACATGGACTTAGAGCACAGGGAGGACAGATGAATTCTGGGAAACAGAGGGCAGCATGTTGGTTGGGAGCCTTATAAAAGCCACTATGCTGGAGTGAAACAGCAATACAAGCTTCCGCTGAAACTGAACTGCAGTGTGACTAACGGTGCATCCTGTTTCGAGACTGTGCTGTAAGATAAAGTTCACAGGTTTAATGGCATTGACGATGGCTGCTCTGACTGTAATCTGCTGTGGATTATGAAGGCCAGGAGGTTTAATCCCTGTCTGTAGCAGCAGCCCACACAACGTCTCAGACCGAAGATTTTGCTGATCACGACAGCATCACCAGCAGCAAGCAGCATCAGGATCAAAACTGTCATCTCTGCTGTTTAAAAAAGTCACGAAAAAAAGATTTGAGGGGAAAAAATGCAAAACATAAATCTCAGATGTTCTAGTCAGCAGACAGCGAGCTCTGCTGCTCCCTCATTTGTTGTTTGTTCTGTAATTTGTCTGTTCTTGTCCTTTTTTTCTAGTTCTATCTGTCAGTTGCTGTTTTGTTCTTCATATTTTTTTTTAACAAAAGTTGTTTTATTTCCTCTGTGAAGATGTATTTATTTTATAGCTCTATGATATGCGATGTTATTGAGACAAAAAAGCATTAATGTAAATGTGACTTGTACAGTTTCTTTTTTTCCTTTTGCTATGTGATTTTCAGTTGTAATACGGCTCTACTGTGATGGAGGACACACACACACACACAGCACACACACACACACACACACCACCAACACACGACACCCAGCTAATGCCTGTAACTTTGGGAAATGTTAATGCTCTACAGTCCTCATGCCATAAATACATTTTTTGAAAATGAACTGCCAAACTATTGTAAAGACTGTGTAAAGTTGTATTCTGTAAAGAAAGAACAAAATGGCTTATACACTTCAGCATTTTATGAAAAAAGTATTTGCTGTAAAATTGAGACATTTACAAAAAAGATGTAATTTATTTAAGAAAAGAATGAATTGTCTTGTTTTTTTGTTTTGTTAAGATTTACTATGGTGAACTTTTGAAGTTAAAAGATGAAATAATGAAAAAGTTTACTATAATGTGTAAATATATACATATATACATTCACTGAGGTATTTTTTTAAAACATGGCTTGCCTCAATTTTAAATTTTAAAGTGCAAGTGTTACATGCGTTGTACATTGAAATTTAAAAGGGTTTTACATTTTCCATTAAAATGGATTTATCAAAAGTTCGTTGTTGTGTGTTGGATGCTGGATTCCCTCTCTCTTGAAGACTAAGACACTTATTATGGTTTACACATTATTTGTTGTTTCATTTAGTATATTGAATGGTGAAAGTAAATTGACAATTAATTAACCAGAAAGGGGAAAGCTTTTTAGCTCATGGATGCAGTCACGGAGAGGTCATCAAATCCATAGCCGCAGTAAGAAAAGAAATGTTAAGAAAAGTGTATTGCTTTCCTTTTATACAGTATTACACTCTATTTACTTTTTTGTCCCAAATCAAAACAACATCCTATAAATACAAAGAGGTAGATTTTACACACAAAAATGCACTAAGTGCACGGTCAGGTCAGCATCATAAAACAAACTTGTAACTATGGGAAGCACATCCATCCAATTTAGTAAAAAGAAAATATAAATCTGTAGGTAAAAAGGTGAATCTGCATGAGCAAGTTTTTCTGTGACTTTGACTGTGTGATCATCACCACTAGGTTGTGCTGTTATACCACGTCATTTGTGTTTGAGGTAACTTTTTCCTCCACCAGGTTCTGAGACACAACAACCTGTAGAACTGATAGAGAAAGAGAAAACAAAATAAAAAAAAAAAAAATTCTTTTAAGTCACACATGTCATACTTGCTGATGCATCTCCATCGTGATTGACAGCCAGTTCAACCTATCAAAGCAGCCTTCTTTTGCCCAAATTTCACCAATCTTTCACACCTCCTGGAGTGTCCTTGTTCAGTTGACAAAGTGACAAAATAAAGTAGAAAGCAGACATTCCCAGATTGACAAATACTGGCCCTGGGAATGAGACTCTATCTTCAAGCTACCAACCCAAATCATCTTTCTCTGCTCTGATTGTTTTTTTTAATTCAGGCCCGGTGGATTCTTGCAAATACCACTAGGAGCACTAGGAGGAGCCAGAGGAACCTGATTTTTTATCTGTACTACTGTCAGGATATATTGAAAGTTCAAGCAAATATGACTAAATGTTATTTTATAAAAGTTACCTACTGTAGTAAAGGCAGTATAGTTATATTCTGAGGATATTATAGAAATAAATGGAAACACTGTTATTGAATGTCCTGAGCTCTGTGTTGAGATAAGCTCGGTCAGTCCTTATCACCAATGCTCTGTTGCATCTGCAAACAAGAACTACTTGGGATATATAATCTTTATCTTTATTTTTTTTCTATGAGGTTCAGAGTTAAACTTCGTCATTCACTTTCTTTGAGTTAAAATAACATCATTCAGGCAGTGATGACACTGTTGTTCTGTGGTAACGTGTTTACTTTGAAAAACTGGAGGTCACGTTTGTGGTGTTGTGCATTGGTGTGTGTGTGTGTGTGTGTATGTGTGTGTGTGAAAGAGAGAGAGAGAGAGAAATGAACCAGTGCTGACATGACTAATGCTGGGATCAGCTCCCATTCAAACTTCCAAAGCTGAACTGGAAACACACATATTATCCTCCTGCTTTCCATTATATAAGCTGAAACTGTCCCTCCTGGCACAGTGTGTGTGTGTGTG